AGAAAACTTTCCACTGCCATATGTACAAAGTGTCATGCGTTCGCAATTAACCGATTTTCGAAATATTTTTTTCATTCCGGCTCAGATACTACTTCAACGGTCTAGCCACTGGTGCTTTTTCCGGCAGTAAAAACTGTATACCTTTTAGTTGACACATCAGGCTTTAATCAGGGTGACCCAACATATTCAGAAATACGAAGACATTTAATACCACTAGATCTAATACCAACCCTATTAATCCTGCAATATAAATCTGGGATCTACTAACATTCTAAATACGGCCATAACCACGAGATTGTATAGGTGACAAATTCAAATTAAAATTTTATTTATTTGTGAATACAGGTAATGAGACAGAATAGATCTTTAAAAAATGATCTTCGCTACATTGAACCTTTAGGTATACAAATATTATAGTTACAATTATATCTATTACATTTCCACAATTGAATTATTTCATTATATTATTAGTACAAGTTATTATTAGACAAGTTAGTATAATAACAATATTTTATCTATTCGCTTAGCTTTATTCTGATATCACAGCTTTTTATGTAAATGTTCCAAACATCACTATCTATAAATCATCCAAAAATCACTAGCTACAGCCAAAGAGAATATAATCACTACGTTTAGCTACAGCTGTAGTCGTAGTAATGGCGCACGCACTCAATTACTGCAGATATTTAGCTAAAGCGGGTGCTCAATTTTACGTATTTTATTTAAAACATTTTATTTTATTATCGCACATCGCCGAAAAGAAAAACAAATGTAGGTACTATTAAAAGGTCATATAAATTATGTGAGAGAATCGTAAAATACGTACTCAGCACTTTAGCTGTGAACACTTACGCATAAGAGCCCTTTAAACGATAGCTATAAATTATATTTTATATCTTCCCGTTTATTTTTCTTGCGTAGCTTACGATAGAGACAATTTTAATAATAAAAACAGTGGGACTTTTTGCCCTATGGAAGGGGCGAAAGAGAATCCGTCTCCCTATATCATCCCGTGGGTGTCGTAAGAGGCAACGATAGATGCGTCATAACTATCACGTATAAAATAAATACACAAATATAATACTTTAGCTGGCGACGGAGAGTTGCGAGACGTTAGTAATGAGGTGTCAAGCTGAGTGTGAAGCGTCAAAGAGTAGATAATCACTACGTTTTATCAAGCGCGGCGATTATGACCATAGACTTGGAATATATTCCTAAGTTTATGACTACGACGAACCCTCCCTATTTCGGGAATGACCTATTTCCACAAATGGTAGCAACTGTTACAATATGATAAAAAGACAAATAAATGAGTTTTAATGACACTTAAAAATTATAAGGAAATGAAATCTTACAAATAAGAATAAAACAAAATAAATAATAAAAAAAAACTAATTATTATGTTCTTAATTATAATATGAGTTGAGTTCTGGTGCTGAGGATCGCGAGTTTGAATATGGCACGGAACGAGTATGGCCTAGAAAAAAATTTTCCGGGTCCAGATGTTTGCCCTTGGGCAATTTGTGTTTGTAACCTGCCTCCATTATACATTAGAAAGTCCCAACGTTTTTAAATAACAAATAAAACAAAACTTAACGAATGAAAAAACTTGTTCACCTTATGAAATTTTGCCAATAACGCCGCCTGGTGCTGTTGATGAGAAAAGAATCAGCCGTCATCACTAGCGCAGACCATTTGCAGATATAATTTCTTCAGTACTGCGTGGATATTAAGAAATTACCATAATATACGTCTTTAATTCTTACCTCTTTTCTAGCTGCTGACAATGGAGACAGAAATTATTTTAAATAAATCAGGAATATTTATCCTGATTAACCGAATAAAAATATTTTGGCGATATTTTTCATTTTCCCAAATGTTTAGTTATTATACAAATACTTTAAAGGTAATTTAAAATACGTCACAAACAGGATAGAGTAGTAGACAGAGTGACACTTGCAATTATTTGCGAGTGTTGTGTCATGTCGAGTTTGAAACAACTTAAAATTAACAAATACCTGTTCTACATGATTGCTTTCAAATTTAATTTCAGTTTCAGTCTTTCATTTTAAAATAATTCAAATGTTTTATACGAAATACTTATTCACGTCAAAAACGATATCGGTAACCACGGATTGCTCTCGTACTTTGGAATTGAAGGTGAGCCCAGCCCAGCCTATAAAAACTGTATAAATACAGCTAATCTAGTATTTAGCGTAAAAGGTGAGTAAATAAGTAATTACCGTCTCACACACACACACACACACAAACACACACACACACACACACACACACACACACACACACACACACATTCACGCACGCACGCACACACACACACACACACATATATATATATATATATATATATATATATATATATATATATATATATATATATATATATACTATAAATAATTACCAAATAAAAACTACATGGCTTCTGAAAAATCTTGAAAAGAGTGTAGATTGAGCGCGAAATGGGAACAAATAAATTGTGGCTATAGTGTGAAGTACATGATAATAATTCGTAATATATATCCTAAAATAAAATTATACGTAATTATACGTTTTCCTGATCAGGTTTCGGTCATAGTAGCCAGTTTCAATGGATGTAGTCATCTGCGCAGAATAGGATTTAGTGCACGAGTGTGTGCACAAGACCAGTAATTGACTATCTATTCCCTCAACCTCTTAAACGATCCAGCAACAATCCAACACAAACGGAGAGAGATCAGACGTAGGAAGAACGGCTTTGCGTGCTTTCCGAGGCACGGCAGTGAAGCATCGCCAACTCTCTGACTCCGGGCTGCTGCTGAGAATTTAATAACAGTAAATAAATTCTGGCCCGAGCTGGGATTCGTGTCAGACACAACATGATCAGCTGTCGCGCTTACTTACGGCTACTACACCAACTCGGCAGTCAACATTAGAATGTTTAGATAGTATAGAAGTATTATATATATTATAGATAATATAGGAGTTATGAAATATTCTTAAAACATTTTAAATATGTTTCGACAATGGTAATACCAAAGCAGTCAATATATTATTAAATAATAAAAAATCTGTAAGTAAATAACAAATCATTGGTAATCTACAAAAATGTTAAAATTATATAAAATACCTTTGTTTCCCTAACATTTTCAAATTTACAGAAAATTTATTACATGCCACATTTTATCCAAGAACATTACAATTGTGTTCCGTGTACTGAATAATAATATATCAGTTCCGGGTGTACACCAACAATACTACCAGCTAAATAAACATTATTATGTATCCCTTAAATATCTCTACGGATGATTAATGTATATGTAGGGGACTGTACTTCCGGAAATTGCCAATTATTATCGATGGAATTTTTTTCCCACCCTCATAAAATTCCATTAGATTTTTAATCTTTCCACGGCTTTTGAAATATCTATTTAGTCTAAGCTAAGATAACTACCTAAAATTAGTATTTGTTTTGAGCTTTTTTATTAATTTGGCTGTTGTAAACTAATTTCAGTATTTTAAGACTCCTTTAAAATTAATTTAATATATTAACATTAATGAAATATATCTATTACAAAATTGTTTTACAATTCAATTTAACTCGCACAAAATACGCTTATACAACATTTGTATTCATTAAATTATGAATTCATTTAGTCCGGTATAATAAAATAATAATCCACATAATTTCCAGGTAATCCACAAAGTGACAGTCGTCTCGTACCCGTACTGATGCAGCATATACATTTTGTATGTTATTTAGAAGTTGAATAAAATAGTATGAGTAATTTTCACTGCTGTATTTTTATTCTAACAGCGTATAAGGTTCCTTTTAAAGTAGCAATGTAAATCAAATTACGTTCAGTATACAATGAACAATTAATATAAAACGATACATAGTAAAAATGTCTGGGATACAAGCCCGCAGCCACCGAGCTACGGCAGTTGCCTACGAAACGTGGCTACGATAGCTACGCGCGGGCTACGGCAATCCACTTCATAATTATAATAAACTCGTGTTCTACGGGGTTTAAACGTGAATATCAAGTATATATATTTTTAAAAAATTGGACACGTTTTGAACTTTTCTTTATTTTATGTTCTTCTAATATCCAATATTTTTATTATAAAGTGCTTTACAATATTTTAATTATGGTTTTTCCTACTTCGTAAATATGTTATAAAATAGAAAAAATAAATTTCTTTAAAAGTAAATACACGTGCAAATCTCTATTTCTTTGTAATAAGTACTACATTTATTTTATAAGCGGTCTGAGGGAACAAATTGTTTCAGTAACACAATGAAACGATAACAGCCAACGAGGGAGAGGGATCAGAAGGAATTCCCACGTCGAAAGACCTGTTTATATTTAATCCAGTAATATGCTTGAATGTAGCAATATTATTAAATGTCTTTAGTTTATTTTAGTGTATCAGGTGATATTATTCATATTGTAATTTAATAAAAGCTTCAAGAGCAGTATATTTTTAACCAGAAGAACTAGAGCTGAAATAGTTAAAATTTTTGCAATTAAAATTAATCTGAACTTTTCAATGTGCGTTATTTGATTTTGATATTTTTTACTTTATCTTAATATATAATATAATATCTCTGCGTTGTTGCTGATTAGGATAATCTATAACTCCCAAATTATCAAGTGATTGTTGTGGCGATTGGTTGAGAATATGGTCCTACTGATTGAGCCATATTTGATCTGGCTTAATCAAAATTTTGCTGTAAATTTATTTAAATTAAAGCAAGATCTTTCAACTTCACAAGATTATTCTAAACTAACAACAATTAAAATTATTTAGAACTTGAATTACTAACTTTAAATTTTAGAATTGTATTCAAAATATCGAAAGCACCTATAATAAAAATATTTAAAAAATAAATAAATTAAAACATACGAATATTTATTCGTTCTAAAAAAATAATTAAATTTGAATAATGCTATTAATTGAATAATTGGTGAATTGCAGTACAATTTATGCTCTTCAGGATGTGGACATTGATATGGTACACAAGTATTCTCGCTATTTTGGTGGCTGACATAAGAACGCGTGCACTACAAAATATAGGTAATGAAAAAAATTTACCAACGATTTATGATTTTTTTTTATAGTAGAGGGGGCAAACGAGCATGCGGTTCACCTGATGGTAAGTGACTACCGCCGCCCATGAACAACCCAAACACCAGGGGAATTGCAGATGCGTTGCCGGCCTTTTAGAAAGGTGTAAGGTCTTTTCGCCGGTGGTAAACAATTCCACAGAGAAGTTGTACGAGGAAGAAACCTCCTAGTAAAACCCACAGTCGTGTATACAAGCATCGAGATGGTGAGGATCGTATCGTAAATTTTGACGCGATTTGTGTTCGTGGAATTTGGCGCAAAACATTTTTTGCGTGAAATTAACAAATATTTTTAAAATTAATAGGTTTTTTAAAGATTAAAGTGACAAACGCCCTAACATTGAACCCAATGATGCTGGATACTGATACCAAATTCAAATAAAGAAAGTTACAGATGCCTCATCCTATTTAAGTATTAAGATGGAATACCACATAACCTGTAATAATATTGGCTCTGCTACCGTTCAAATTGAACACAGCAGTGGGTACATTTCTGTTTGAAGGCAGGAATAGGCAAGAGGCATACTACTGGGCGAAATGGAATTGACTAGCTTACATTTGCCATCGTTGTGAAAGGGTTAAGGTAAAGGTGCGTCCTATTTCAATCTTCTGCATAGCATATCGATGCCAAAGTTTACATAAATTATTTTGTATAATGTACTTAATATCAATTTAAAATTATTGTGCATATTCATCTATTTTAATTTTATTTGATATTTTGACAGTAACTTTCAAGTTCATGATTCATAACCAACACTCCAAGTCACTGTAATATTTTTTATAAAATTGTCAACAGTTCGTAAAAATCTAGCATAAGAGTATGGTGTATCATTCTCTTTAAAAATACACGTAAAATTGTTCGTTATTTTACAAAATACATTTTTTTAAGTTACAAAGTGACAAAATCAAATTTCAATAGCCTGTATGAAAACCAATTTCAATAATATGAAAATATTAAAAAAGCAAAAATAAAAACGATTCTTGAAAAGTAATAAAAGGCCTTTCACTTGATTTTCAATAACAAGCCGAGAAACAGTTCAAAGCTAGCCAAAGGCTTCGACATCCGACATCTGCCTGAATTAATAAAATACTACTTTACTTCGCTGTTCCGGAAGCTTGAAACATAAAAAAATTGAAAAGCTATTATATTATTTAAATTAAAGAGATTATCCATTTATATTCTACATACTAAACGTATGTACTTCTCGGAAGTTAGTATTGTAAAACCTTAATTTCTTTATGTAATATTGAGAGTTTTAGATGAAGATATCACCTCGTGGATAATTTTGCGACTAAACATTTTGCGATAATTTTTACATTATATTCTACTAAAGGGGCAAAAAAATTGTCTCTGAAACCTATACCAAATTAGTACGGATTAATAAAATGAATAACGTTAATTATACTAATATACTCGTAAACAAGTATGCGTAAAATATATATGCCGAGAAACCAATTCTAAGCGTTAAGATGCCAGATGCCTCTGTCTCTACTTGAAATCGATTAATAAGATTTATATTTTTTTATAAACTATTCAGAAGGAAATAGGGTTTAGTTTATCGGACGACAAATAGAACGGAATCCGTTACGATGTAAAACTGTTTAGAAGTAAAAGTTAGTGTTTATTTTTACATAATATAGTATAGTATATATAGTATATACATAATATGTGCTAGTTGTAGGTTTTAGAGATTTAATATTATACTACTACTAGTTTTTTGTACGTGGTAGAGCCATGCTGCAGCTATATTAGTAGTATAGTTGTAGCACGAATGGGTCGGCTCGACCGGGAGGACCATGCTCTCACAGAATACCAGCGTAAAATGGCAGCTTGACACTGCTGTGTTTCGTATCATTTTACTGGAAAAGAGGCATTCCATCTTAGTCCTCACGGGTAACAAAGCATCTGCATTTTGATTCTTTATTGAGGATAAATGTAGATGTCTATGGGTCACAGCAACTACTTACCATCAGGTGGACTGTGGGCTCGTTTATTACCCTCATTCTATAAAAAAAGTATTTTTTTAAAAAAAACGTTACCCACAAACTAGGATTTTCTCCTTTATCGTGGAGGCAGTTTACAAACACAAATTGCACAATCCAGAGCTTACTACACTAGCACTAGTAATTAAGTATCACCACAACCTGCCTAGTTTAAGGCTTAAAATATTTTTTAAATCATGAAATTTAAAGCAATATGTCATTATTCATTAATTCAAATCAACAAACACAGACTATGAATCATAATGCCGTACAATTGAATATTAATATGTCTAACTACATGTTAGCTTACAACTAAAACGTAGTGATTTTAATATACTTTTTGCTTGCAACATAATTAAAAAAAATATTTATTGTTTATTGTGTGATAATAAGTCGTGAATAAGCTGTGGTAGCTGAGATGGTTATCGCTCTCTGTAAATTTCACAGTACGCGAGCAACACGGGTTTGATCCCCGCCGGCACCAATGAAATTGTTCATTGTAATTTTAAGTGCTGATTTACCACGTGCTCAATGGCAAACAAACAATACTTCGAAGACATGTGAAGTTCGCCAACACACATTGGGGCAGCGCGGTGGACATTTCCATGCCCTAAAACCCTTTCAGAAATGAGAGGAGACATGTGCCGAGCAGTGGGATATATATAGGCTGTAAATTTAACTTTATTTGGTAATAAAATTAAAATAGCTGATTAGTATTTAGTTTCATTATTTAATTAATCAACGAAAAACATTTTATTTATTGAATGAGGTGAGGAACTGTCATACAGCCCACTTGACGGTAAGTGGATTTTATGGCACATAGACATCTACATATATCTTCGATTAAGAATCAAAATTTAAATGTGTTATCACCTCTGAGAACTTAAGATGGAATGCCTCGTTTCCAGTAAAAAGGGTCTCCGGTTCTCTACACTCACCATAAAAACACTGCAGCGTTGTGCTGGTGTTTTACGCTGGTATTCTGTGAGAGCGTGGTCCTACCCCGGTCGAGCCGACCCATTCTTGCTGCAGCAAAAATATAGCTGCAGCATGGCTTTACTAAGAGTTGTTACTTAAACCATTTCATGTAATTATACTGGAAATAATATTTATTATAATAGAAGAGTTTGTAGTTTCGTATTCGCCGTGCTAAAAAAAATATTATGACTAAAAACGTAAACTAGATGAAAATAATTATTTTCGTTGAAAACACCAAAAAACAAAAATGAAAAACGGATTTCTGTCCGTTTCTATTCTATTAATTTATTTATTTAAATTGTCAAAAATCTCATGATAAACATAGGCCTCCTTCATAGATTGATTGCTAAGTTGGGAAGGCAGGTTGGCAACTGCAGTTTGAAATTGTTATCAGGAAGTAATTTCCTATTTAATTTTCTTCTATGCCTCTTACGACACTGACGAGGTATTATGAGTGTATTTATTTACGCCATCACCACACGTACTCTATCAATAATACATTTCTTTTTTTTCATAGTATAAGAGTGACAACGAACACACAGTCCACCTCATGGTAAGTAGATGCTGATGTCCATAGACATATGATATGATTCCTTAATTAAGAATCAAAATGAAGATGCGTTGTCCTCCCTGAGGAATAAGATGGAATGCCTCGTTTCCAGTGAAAAGGGTCTTCACAGCTCTACACACACCATGCGAAACATTTACATATATACATGTATTCTGCGAGAGTGTGGTCTTTCCCCGGTTGAGCCGACCCATTCGTGCTACAACTATAATGTGCATAGCCATGGCATGGCTCTACCACGTATTATATAATATGATGAATTATGAGGATGAAATTTTCACTGATATTTCCGAATCATATATTTACTTTTTTACTGGTGGCGCTATAATGTATAATGTAAAGAAGTCAACTCGACAGTAGAGTTGACTTCTATTGGTTGTCGTCAAATATGTCAACGTGATTAAATCCCGCAAAGAGGACATCGTCATCATTATTGAAAAAGAACATAAAATCCTACTATTACGATTTAGTTGTAAATGTTTTACGGTCTGGTTTAAATAGATTGCTTCTTTTATTAAATTGATAAACGTAAAAAAGACCAACAGAGGATAAGCGGCTATTGCGGCCGATGGACAAGTGTAAACAATTTAAAAGAAAATAGCAGGCCACAGATGTGAGTGAGATGTTTTTTTACTGAACGAAAGAAGACTAGAATGAAATCTCTTACTGCCTAGACTAAATTAGACTCTATTTTATTTCTTTATTGCATTGTATACAGACAAAGATAAAGAAAGTTTATTTGTATAAATATGGATGTGCAAAACGTACTTGTATGATATTTGCAGAAATAATGTTACAGTGGAAACTACTGCTCAAATAATTCCCTTAACATGTCATATGTAATTTTATAAATATATAAAAAGGAGAATCATTGCAGTAGTAGCAATTTAATAGGTATAAATTAGTCAGATTTTATTAATGAAGAAGTTATAATAAAATTTGTCAATTAACAGTGTTTGCAATTTTTCCTTCATCATCATCATCGTTATAGCCACTGCTAAACACAGTCCTACGCCAAGGAATGTCATAAGCCACGGTCATAAACCACCTGCATCCATCGACATCATGCATCTCTTACCTAATAGTCAATCCATTTAGTGGGGGGTCGCCCTACACTTCGTTTATCCATGCAGCCATGTTAGAACTAGGAGCTAGGTATACTTAAATATTTGCTTTAATTGAATTATTTTTAACTCTTAAATATGTCTAGGTATTTTGTTAATATTGCATACATGCCATTTTTCTTATAAACTTATTCTGTTTTTCCGACCAGAAGGCCTCGTATGGTCACAATTATTTTTTATATTTACATCTGAAATATGCTGATATAATGTTGGATTGCTTTTAATAAAAACAACAATCTCGAAGATATATAGCGATGTAGAAGTAAAAACTAAACTTTTTTTATAATAGGTTTTGTAATTTTCCTCCGATTTTAACCTTAACATGGCACGAAAACGTTCCGTATTACGCGAAACGTTATTAGGTAGGTAGTGATTTATCTCGACACTTCAATGGCAAGCAATTTTGTGTTCTTAATATGCTTCTATCATAACCATATTATGGAAAATTTACGATAATATTAGTAACATATTAAGAAAACACTCTAATTAATCCATCGTATATTTTCTAAAAAAAAAAAACATTTAATATTACTAATTTGAAAAAAAAAACGGTTTGAAAAAAAATTACGTGGACGTAACGTATGTACGTTAGTATGTTGATTTTGTATGTGGTCACGATAACTCCCGAAAAAATTGACGAATCGAGACGGGGTGTTTTTTATTAGCTTCAGAATTACATCAACTGGTTCCCTATTTCAATTTAATAGCCTAGTACGCGTAGTTTTATTTTAGTAAACATTTTTTTCCATTTAGGTGATACTACCTATTAAAATAATAGAGCCCTAAATTTAAAATAGGTAAATAATATACTTTAAAAGTCAGAAATACAATTTGTTTTTCATCAAAATTAAATGAAACGCTCATGAGGCGTGCACTTTTGGATTTTCCAAACTATCCTTATCTGCACACTGTAGAATACACTGAGTAAAACATTCATATTTAGTAAATTTGTATAGTTTTGTTAATCCCTCATTTTGTACTTGTTCGAGGATGGTAGAATAACGTTGTTATTGAAGTTGACTGCGTCGTCATCGTGACTTTTTAAAGTGAAGTTAATTTAAACAACAACTTGTAAACAGCACGTTAACATGTGTAATCCTTCTGACATATTATAATGAGTTTATTTCTTGAAATTTTACATAGTGAAGTATGTAGGTAACTCGTCTCGATTGTGGTTTCGAATGAATGCAGTGGTGACTTGAATGACATTGCCTTTGTATCACTTCTTAACATATATACTTATTTTAACAAACTGATTTGCTTTTAATCGTTTTATACGTGGTAGAGCCATGCTGCAACTATATTAGTAGTATAGTTGTGGCACGAATGGGTCGGCTCGAACGGGGAAGGACCACGCTCTCACAGAATAACAGCGTAAAATAGCAGCTTAACGCTGCTGTGTTTCGTATGGTGAGTGTAGAGAATCGGAGACCCTTTTTACTGGAAATGAGGCATTCCATCTAAGTCCTCACGGGTGAAAACGCATCTGCATTTTGATTTGTAATAGAGGATAGATGTGGATGTCTATGGGCCGCAGCAACCACTTACCATCAGGTGAACTGTGTGCTCGTTTGTCACCCTTATCCTATAAAAAAATCAATTAAAAAATATTTCCCAAGCTCGCAGTTCTTTAAAATCGTGTATTCTATATATTTTGTTTCGTTTTGGTGTTTGATTGTATCATTTTTAATGCTAAATTGAAATCACGGCGAATCAAGCTTGTGAATGTGGTGGCATTTTATACACGAGTTTACTTATATGTTAGTGATATGTAGCCCATTTTTTATAGAATAAGGGTGACAAATGAGCACATAGTCAACCTGATGTCCTACCATAGATCTACGAAAAAACCAGTATGTTTCAGCGTATCTTTATCGGTCCTGAACTCCACTGCTGGATATTAGCTTCAGCTGTTTTAGGGAAAATGTATTTTAATCGTCACGCTTGGTAGATTATCAATCACCGCGTCATTCCTCTCGCGCCTTTGACGCTGCTGTCCAGGTACTCCACGTCTGACATAAACGAGATGTTTTTATTGGTATACTCGTATATCGGAAGCCTAATGTTTTTTGGCATTACCCATAGCCGCCTCTTGACAAAATGTAGCATTTCAGTGTATATCTTTATGGACTTAATTATATTATGAACTAAATACTAAGACCAAAAAAAGAAAGAAAGATGAAGTGCTGCCTATATTTAAAATGACGCAAAATAGCTAAAACCATGCTCAACTTATTTTATGAATATGCATTCACGTATACATAATGCATCGAAAATTATTTGCAACCAACAACATAGTTTTATGTGCATATGTGTGCTTCTAGCAGTGAACTTTAACGGGCTGTTAAAGAAAGATATGTGCGAGAGTGCGTCTTAAGAAATGGAGCATAGTTTTTGCGTCACTTGAAAGTTACTTAGGGTCCGGTCTATCTTTTTTGTTAGTCTAATATTAAGTTAAAAAAATATCTGCATATATCTATATATATATATATATATATATTAAAAAATGACCCAAAAATATATGTTTTTAATTAAAAATTACCTTTTTTACAGATATAGCGCCGCAGAGGTGTTACGAGTGTGTAAATGCCAACAGTACGACATTGTGTACTTTAGAAAAAGCCTCTGTTTTATGTCCAGCCCAAGAACCGTATTGTGGAACAGTAGCCGTCGGACCAAGTCAGTATTTAAGATTGCTAATTTCTTTGATATTGTTATTTAATCTGACAGTAGCTCAATGATTAAGGGTGCGTAATGTAAACTTAGAAAGTCATAGGTTCAAATCCGCAATTCGACTACTGCGGTGGATCACTTCTAACAAATACAAACATTTAAGTTTACTTCAAGTGGGTGGTATTATTAATGTGAATGTGTAATGTGTTTTACTAGTATTCATTTCAAAAAATATGTATCACAGTTGCAATAACATATTTTTGTTAAATAAGATTTGTGCAAAATTAAAAACAAATTAATTTTACATTTTTCATGCGAATTAGTCCTGATATACATATTAACTTCTGAGTTACTTGTAATTCATTAGGAGAAGTAATCCGTCAATTGAATTTACGGTAATTAAAAAGTCAATTGAAAGAAAACTAATTTTGATAATTTTTTTTTACTTCTCCCAATTACAAGGTATCTGCCATTAATCCACTGCCTGATATGAGTTTCTTCCAATATTACAATTTCTAAATTTGCCACATTGTCTTATTTGGAAGGAAAATGGGACTATCGAAGTACCAGACATTTTTTTTACTTTACAGATTTTACTTCGTTGCTCAAATGTTTACCCGCTTTCAAGAATACTTGTTCTATAAAACTTACTACAAACGGAACCTTACAAATGTCATGTGTATGTATTAAACAACTTTGCAATGCGCCTTTCTCAGAAAAGCTTCGGAATGAACTGTTACAATTCGAAAAGGAAAAATCATTAGAAAACAGCAGTGACCTAACAAGTACCTTTCTTAAATCTCTCAAACTAGAAAATGTTACAGATCTATACAAAACGATTACGTTCAATACACAAAAAGAAAAAAAGATATCAATGAATAATAATTCAACGCCACCATCTGTTTTAAAATTAACAAAACTACAGTTAGTGAATTTTAACAATTCAATCGAAATCGATGCGCCACATGCAGAGCACTTGAAACATGAAGCGACGGTGCCTCCAGACGATGATGAGGATGAAAGTGAAGGAAGTGGATCATACGAGGATCCTAGATCACAAAAACATCCACCATCTGCCCCAGCTGCACCTAGTTCATATCTGCCAGCAGAGGAGAATAAAGCATCTTTATTTTTTATAAACGGTTTAGCTGTAGTAGTAACTTTAATAAGTTGTATTATCCTTTAGATATTTCATTGAATGTAATACTTTATAAATATTTTATCAATAAGAAATTAGTTCGTAAACCTAAGAATTTTATTATATTTTATTTTTTTGTAGTATAGGCTCTTATTAATTAAGCATGGGAACAAATTAATAAAAAATATCCTCTTAGATTAGATGTTTTTGCGTTAGTAATGGCTTTGAGATAACCCGAACCAGTCACTTAAAAATAACCATTAGCTAAACGTATTTTAATAAAATTTAAATTATTTCACAAAAATGTGTAATTTTTGCTGCACAATTCGGCCTTTATACATAAGCATACATTATAAATTATATGCATATAATATATTTTATCATAAAAAAATTGTGACAATTATGTCAAACCTTACTTAAAAAGATCATACGTTGTTACCAATTTAGTTTATATACTAAAACAGAAATATCCATACCTCTTGACATTTAAAAAGCTTCCAACAAGTTTCTTTTTAAAACAAAGTTCGTGAACATTTTAGTAAAGCATTGCAAATGCGAATTTTCCTAAATACTATATATATATACATTTACATTTGTGTGATATATGTTTAGAATACCTTCTATACGTATTCGGACTTTGTTACCTCTTTTACTCATTATTACTTTACCATTTCTGCACTACCTCCCATATGTTTATCTCCGCTTAGTTTAATTGGTTGACTGGGAGAGAATTCCTTAAGGCATTAAGTCCGCCATATGTACGATTTAATTTTTTGTGCATAAAATTTAAATATATAAATAAAACATATAGGAAAGGCAAACACAGGAAAATTCGAAAACAGTTAATTTTAGCAGGTCATGTTTTCATAGTGTTAGTGTACTTGTCACATTAATTTATCGTTGTCAACTATTCATTTCAGTGTAAAATTGTGCCAAGTACTTTTTAGCTACGCTCGGGTTAATAGTTAATATCATTATGCTCATGTAAATGTTTTACCGTGGTAAAGCTATAATATGTTTGCAGCTCGAATGAGTCAGATCGATCGGGGAAGGACCACGCTATCATAGATATCATTCATATAATATAATATAATGTAATATTATTATCATTACATACCACTAAAAATCACCGCTGACCATAGGCTTCTAAGGAATCCCACGAAGAACGGTTCTACTACTGAATCATCATCATCATTACAGCCCTTCACAAGCCCACTGCTGAACATAGGCCTCCCCCAAGGAATGCCACAAAGCACGGTCCTGAGCCACCTGCATACTACTGAATACTAGCGTAAAATAGCAGCTTAATGTTCTTGTGTTTCATATGGTGTATCCTGTAGAGAACCGGAGACCCTTTCACTGGTAATGGAGCATTCTTTCTTAGTCCTCAGAGGTGACAACGTATTGACATTTTGATTTTTAATCGAGGATGGTCGTTTGTCACCCTTATTTTAAAAAATGTCGCACAATTTCGAATTGCATTAAATTGTTTTCATTTACGCAAATAGTATTTCAAAATAAGTAGGAAAGATAGATAAATAAAATACACTTATTCAACTTTGGCTAATTAAACACACATTGATTTCTTATTGTTTCAGAATAGAGTATTATATGGAAAATGTAAAAATATTATGTAAAATTGTAAGTTATAAGGTCAAATATTTCGTCTGTTTGATTTTATATTTAAAGTAATGATCATTATCTAAGATATAACATTACTTATAATTATAGATACAGTAATAAAAATTATACTAATTTAATATATATAAAGTTGTAATTAAACAAAAATAAATTTACTGTTATTCATTAAATCATTGATGTTGTTTCTATTTTGATTTCATTTTGCACTTAATATATATTTTACGTGGTAGAGACACACTAGTAATGTATTCTGATTGCAAAATAAATGGGTTGGTTTGACTAGAAAATACTACAATCCAGAGAATATCAGTATAATGCTGCTCCATTTTGAATGGTAACTGTCGAAAACCAGACCCTTTTTTACCAACAACGAAACACTTTGTCCTAGGCCCTAAGTTGTTTAATGCATGTACATTTTGCTTCTTAGTCGAAAACAGAGGTAGGTCCCAACATCAGGTGAACTGTGTGTTGACCTATCATTTTACATGTTTTATCACCGTGTTAGGGGATTACTTTTTGACTTCGCTCATACGCTGCTTCCCGGTATCGGTCTGAATATTTAAGGCTTTAAAATTTTCTTGATACCTATTTTTCCACTAATAATGCTGTTAACACCTGCTGGAGGAAATTGGTTAGATTTAAGTCATCGTTACACAATAAGTTCATATTATACCGTATTACCACCAACACCGTCATCGTCATCATATATATTCATTATAACCATTCACAAGTCCTATGCTACACATGAGGGAGGCCAAGGAACAATTCAAATCACGGTCCTAAGGCACCTGCATTCATCCACCTCTTGTATATTTTACCATGGTAACCATGGTGTCACTCCATTTAGTGTACGGAGGAGGCACCCAACACTTCGCTTAATGGAACGGGGCTGCTACTGGAGAATCTTTCTTCACTATCGGCTCTGCAATTTATCAAGCCAGTCCAACGCCATTTCTCCTTGCTGATCGTTTGGGTTATTTTATATTAGATATCCTCGCTACACATTCAATCATATCATACACTTATATCATCAACAACTACATTATACCAATTTTTTATAGGAGAGGGGGCAAACGAACATGTGTACCTGATGGTAAGTGACTACCGCTGCCCATGAACAACTGCAACACCAGGGGAATTGCAGATGCGTTGCCGGCCTTGTAAAGAGGATTAGGCTATGCTATTTAGAAGATGTTTTCTTTATCGTCTAGTAGGCTACTAGACGAGGAAGAAAACATCTTCTAAATCGTACAGTGGTGGACCACTAATCATCCAGATGGTATGGATAGTATCGCAAGATTTGTCGCTCGTATTAGTTCGAACAATTCCTCAGAGCACTCCCCGTGGTAGATGCAGTAAAATTCGCAAAGAGATGCGACATCTCTTCGCAGCGTCAGTGAATCGAGCCGATTGGAAAGGACTCGCTCGTCGATGATTCGAGCCGCTCTGCGCTGGATGCGGTCAACTGGAAGGAGCTGGCACTGGGGAGCCCCAGACCAGAGATTGGAACAGTATTCCATGTAAGGCCGAAGCTGCGCCTTGTAAGCCTTACAGGCGTTGTGCTGACACGAAATACTGTCCCGCTCTGCTTAGCACGTCAAGCTTTTTAGAGCCTAATTTGGCCTTCTCTTCCAAGTGACCACGTAACTGCATGTCACTCAATACGTAGACGCCGAGGATTCCAATACTGGTTGAGGCAATAAGGGGAGTGCCTTCAAACTGGGGAGATACGAAAAAGGGGTTACTTTTAGCGGTAAACGCGCAAACTTGTGTCTTCTGGAGGTTAAAATGGACTAGATTTAGTCGCCCCCAATCCGAGACATTGTTCAGCAAAGACTCGACTTCAGACACAAGTTTGTACCGGTACTCGGCGGTGATTTCCTGAGAAATATTGACAAGGTGTGTAGGGCGTCACCAGTGCTGTCATCCGCATAGCAATGAATGTTACTGGTTTCCAACATATCATTAATATGCAGAAGAAACAGCGTTGGTTATCACCAATGCATGCTATCGCACGCAGCCTTGTGGAACACCAGCGTTAATAGGCTTGTAATCGGAGCATGCACTGTCTACTACGAACTTGATGCTCAGATTAGTCTGCACGAAAACTGGTGATCCAATTGCACAATTTCTCGGGAAGCGCATAGGAAGGCGGCTTTGAAAGAAGCGCTTTGTGCCAGACCCTATCGAAGGCCTTTGCTATGTCCAAACTAATGGCCAATGCCTCCCCCTTGGACTCGATCGCCTGCACCCATCTATGTGTTAGGTAATCAAGAAGATCACTAACTGAGCGACCCCGACAGAAACCGCACAGGCGGTCCCTAATCAGCTGGTTCTCTTCCCGCATGAGCTGGCACTTAATAATGGACTCCATTATTTTCGAGAACAAGGAGGTGATGGCGATATACTTGTAGTTGAACGGGTCGGTACCTTTTTTAGGGATCGGGCACACGAAAGCTATCTTCGATGAATTCGGAACAACGCTTAGCAAGTAGGAGTGCCGGAAAAGATGCGTTACAACCGGTGACTACTCTGGAGCGCACGTACTCAGCGCAATTGGTGGGATTCCGTCACGCCCACTCAACTTGTGTATGTCCAGAGAGAGGAGTGCTTAGTGTACTGAGCACTGTGTGAATCACACATCAAGCATAGATCACTCACACTGTGGGATGGTCGGCGAAACCGTCATCGAAAGTCCAGTTGGACGCAAAAAAGGAGCGTAAAAGGTCGGCTTTTTCTTTTGCGTCGTGGGCCAGTGAGTCGTCTTATCTGTGCAGAGATGGTAGTGATTGCTTACAGAAATTCTCTTGAACAACCTTGCTGAGAGACCAGAATGCACGGGTTCCCGAAGGAAGGCAAACTAATTTAATGTGCGCAACATTGGCAGAATTGGCGAGAGCTTTGCCTTGGCAATAACTCTTTTGAAGGACCTGGAGGCGAAGTTATACTTCTTATTAAGCATGCTGGAGTTTACATTCCGAGCCACCGAAGCCTCAGTCCAGGCTTGGTAACTCCTGCTTACTGCGTAATGTAGTCTTACAAGAACGACCAAACCAAGGCTGAGATCTGCCTCCGATGGGTACCATAGATGATGGAATAAATAGTTCCATTCCCTGTAGTACCACATCGGTGACAGAGTAAGCAACAGCACTGGGATCATTCGGCAAAAAAGTAAACCCGCCCTCATGGGTAGGATGCAAAGAAAAACCGCATTCCGTCCCAATCCGTACACCTGTAATGCCAAACACGGCGGCAGCCTGCAGAACCAAGGCAACCGCAAGGAGAGGGTGAGTAGCACCACACTTCGAGTCAGACAATGATCCGAATAGCCGAGAGGGGCATCGACGTAAACCTGATATCCGTCCAGATGAGAGATCAGCAGAAGGTCCAAAAGGGAAGGTGTATGA